ATGATAAACCATAACTAACTATAATCTGGTGTACAGGGCGCCGTGGACAATGTTCTGACAATGCAGAAGCAAACCCACACAGTTGGCCCAACAACCTGGTATCAACAGCTCGTCGATGCCATAACAGTAAATACCGGTGAGTGGTTGGCTGACATCCCGCTTGGGTCCCCAGACATCCATTGTGGGGAGGGAGGGAGAGAGAAAGAGAGATATAGAGAGAGAGATATATATATACAGAGAGAGAGAGAGATAAAGAGATAGAGTGATAGAAAAGGATAGAGAGAGATAGAGAGAGATAAAGAGAGAGAGATAGAGAGAGACACACACACCCATTCTGGGGAGGGAGGGGAGAGAGATAGAGAGAGATAGAGAGAGACAGAGAGAGAGAAAGAGAGAGGTAGAGAGAGAGAGAGAAAGCGAGAGAGAATAGACCCACTTCCCACTAACACGCATTTCGTAAAAGTCGCCTAATAAAGGATGTTTCCTTCGAAGTCGGAGTGCACCTGTCTGAGAGGCGAGGAACCAACCGTCTGCACACAAAAACAAGTCATATTGTAAAACGAGTGTGCACACAAAAATCAAGTTCTAGGAGTGGATGAACAATCAGTATGGCCCCTGGAGTTTACAGTTACTGAACACGAAAAGGAAGAAGAAGAAAGTAGGTTGCCTGATAAGCAAACCCTACACTGACTCGTTGTGAGAATAATAACCATATACGGTCTCACAAACATGTATACGTTTTGATTATGATTTGTTTAATGTATGTTTGTAACTTAGGAATCCAATATTTATAAAATAATGAAACGTGTAGTTCTTATGGTGAATGTTGAAAACTGAATCAAGAATAGACATACCAGCACTCAGGATATATCCATAAGCGCCCCGTCCCTACCTTCAGTAGCACGCGTAGAGTTACAAATCAGATTAGAATTTCATACAAGTCTACTTTTTGCTCTGACACTTTGATCCACACCTCTCGTCTTCTAATTTTTCCAGCATACACACTCCAGTAATTGTTATCTTTTGATTGTGCCATCCCTGACTGCCCTCTGATGAACCAGTGACCCTTAGCTTGTATCCAGGGGTTTCATGAAGAAGCTGGTTTTTGTCAGCGGCTTCCCTGAGATATGACTTAGGTTGCAGCACTTTGAGCACGTCTGTAATCGTTTGTTGTGTAAGAATGTATCGCATACAGAAGATTAGGCACGTCTGCAATAGTTGGTAGTACAGGAATATATCGTATGCAGAAGACTGAGCAAGTCTGCAATAGCCTGTATTGCAACAATGTATCACATTTAAAAAAAGTGAGCACGGCTGCAAAGAGTCTGTAGTGCAAGGATGTATTGCATACAGAAGATTGAGCACGTCTGCAATAGTCGGTAGTACAAGGATGTATAGCATACAGACTATTGGAATCTCTTGTACATTGTATAATCACCCACATGGATATTCTGTATGCGGTCAAGCTTCACCAGCTGACTCTTCGATACGGTGAGCAGCCCTAGTCCATAATTCATAAAAGATCTTATCAAGTGCTGGTACTCTATGAACAGCATTTTTGTTGTTGTTGTTGCTTTATGTCCACTGCTGCCCTAATTTTCTACACACAGAGCTCCCTTTGGAATTCTGCTGCAACTGACCCCACATGATTACTGAACGACAGGTTCCTATGAAAGGTGACCTCACCTTGAAGAAAGCAACTGCCCGCTCTGGGTAGCCTTATTGTTTTTAATCCATAGTCGTGAAATCTAAGAGGCCTCGCGTGGTTTTACAGGTGTCCCCGATAACAACATGGATTACCCTGCCCCCACCACCCCCCTCTCCAACCAGCTCCAAATCTCTTCTTCTTTTTTCTCTACTTTTGAAAAGCCTCGAGGCGTTAGGGCAGGAAGAAATCTCTGTAACGGACACTTCTGTTCGCTTCCAGCGATCTCTTCCTGTCCTGACGCCACGAGGCATTCCAGAAGTAGAGAACATCTCTTTATATCTGTGGGATACTGAGTCTTGCGATGACCAGGGCGTATTTGAGTGCAGAAGGTGAACTAGCCCCTGATATAACATTACAAGTAGCGTTGTTCAGAGCTTGCAGCTATAATCATTTTTATTGCTGAGAGACCTTTCTTGGCTTTGGTTATTATGTGGTCTATTTTTTTTTTCTTTTTTTAGGCGTCTATCAAATTGTATATCAATGTATTTCATGGAATCAGTTCTCTCCACGTCGCCGTCACAGAGTTTTACAACCGGCAATGATGTTTTAACAAAGTGATTATTAAGTTTAGTGGGAGCCAGATTACTGTCGCTGTGGATGGCTTACCTGTTGTCCCTGACGTGTTGCAACAAGATGTTATACAATCGAATTCATGCTGCAGTTCCGAAACCATGCCACCACTGTTCCCGCCCTGTCGGTACACGAGCATGTCATCGGCATATGACAATTCTTCATCTGCCCCTCACTTGTTCTCTCGTGATCTTGAATGGAATTGGAAAGAATGGAGAGCCCTGTGGCAAAACTGGGCTTACTATTGCTATCGGCTTAGAAAATCAACTACGACATCGAAGCACCGCTCTCCTCTTCAACTTTACCGTCCAAGTCGTGTGGCGGTAATCAATGTCTATCCACAAACTTCTGTCTCGTGTACTTTCAGTCAGTCATGACACAGATGATCTTTCATGCCAAGGTGTCAAGCTGTCCAGCATCTTCTCTCTCGGTCTCCCCATGCCTCTTCTCCCCCCACCTCCCAACTTGTCCACAGTTACTGTGTACTCTTTCTCAGGACATGATCAAAACATGTAGATTGTTTTCCTCTGATGTGGGCAATCAGTTCTCTTCTTGAGTCAGTTTCTTTCAAGACATCTTCCTTATACTTTTCATCTGTCTAGAGTATTCTCATCATTATAAGCCACGACATATGAAGTGAGGTGACCATTCCCCTTCCCCGTTGCATGTACTTCTTTAAAAAAAAATGCATTAAGTTTTAGAAATTCTATGTCTCCCATTTGATTTAGGTTGGGTCAACGTCTAAAAAATTGTGGTGGGAAGATATCCTGTGAAGATATTCTGGAAAGATTTTCTGGAAAGATACCCTGGAAATATATCCTGGAAAGATGTCCTGGAAAGATATCCTGGGAAGATATAATGGAAAGATATCCTGCGAAGATAATCTGGAAAGATTTCCTGGCTCTGTTGGTCTACTGTCTGGCCAGGTGTTTATTAGCAACAATAAGTCACAACTAAGTGCACCACAAACCATTTAAGCCACTGAACTTATGGGTAAAAAACAAAACTAGACCATAATTATAACTGTAGCTATCTTCAAAAGGGTTGAATCGGGTAAACTGTTTCCCCTTTTAAAATCAACAACAATATTGTCATGTGTTTAGACCCCAAAAAAATATGTCTCATTCTCTGTTTCGCCCCGCTCTCTATCCCGCTATTTCTTTACATGCATACATCTATTTCTTTATATGTGATTGTCTCGCAGTCATTAAAGAGAAAAATCGCGGCTTTAAAGAAATATTCTTGGGATACCGTTGGTCAAGAAGTAAAGATATTCTGACATCCTATGAGACCCGCAGAAGGTCAAAGAAGATTGGCTAATAAACAGCATCAAGCCTCAGAAATTGAAATATTTTGGCCATATCAAATTTCCCAGCGGATTAAAAAAAATAATATCAGAAGGCATGGTGCCAGGAGAAGGGGGGCAGGGACCGATCACAAAGAAACTGGACACATGATGTGACACCTTGGATAAGACCGCGATGAGAGCGACGTGCTGAAAAGGACCTGATACATGATGATGATGATTTATCTCTAGCTGTCTCACAAACACACACACACACACTTCGCTTGCTTTTGACGTTGCTTCTTTCAATTTTATCTTCAGATGTTAATTACCTACCAGGTATGTGTGTTTTTTAAATTTTTTTTGTTCAATTATTTCATTTTGCATTGATATAAGGTTTTAAAAAAAAAGATTGAACCTTCATTTTTCATTTCTAGAGCTCAATGTTAATTTTTGTAACAAACACAATAGTTAGCTCCAGGCCCATGAGGCGTTGCGAATGTTATTCGTAATGCCTGGGTGCCAGATTCGATCCCAGCTCCGTGGCTGATGAGGTCAACATGAAGCCGGCCGCTTTTACTTCCCAGGATCTTACCTGGTACACATTTAAGGCTAAGTCGACCAGGGAACTAAGGTCATTTTTTGAAGAAGAGAAAAAGTCTGGCTCCGTCATGACTTGAACCCACGGCCTTCAGATCCGCAGGCGACCGTCTAGCCACTACATGACGGCGGCTCCCGGGGGCAAACGTAAGCGGACTTTTAATCACAGTGCGCTTGTTACTGTTAGCAATTCGACTCTCTAAAGTCGCTACTGAAGAAGGAGGCGGAGCACGCGTAGGCAGTAGGTTCATGTTCAACAAGCATCCCCTAAGTGAGAGTTGTTGGTTATAATTGTGACTAGGTTATGTGCGCCATATCAAATGGCTTAGCATTGGACGCCACCAAGAGTCCTGAAAAGGACTCATGCAGTGTTGCTGCGATAAAAAGAGACACACCCAAATACTGTCCCGACTGTCATCGAAGTCGTCTACTGGCGAGCCATTCAACAGGCTACCTGGTCGCCTAGGAGTACGCGTGGGCGTATCCCAGGGACAGTGATGTCAATTTGTGATTCATTTTTTTTTCCGCAGTTCTCAACATGTGGGTCTTGACCCATTTGTGTAAATCGAACTACCTTTTTACAGGGGTCGCCGAAGACCATTTAGAACACATATTGGCTGACGTTATGGAGAAGTATTTTATTGGTTGGGCGGTGGGGGTGGGGGGAAAATGGGGGTCACCACAACATGAGAAACTGAAGTTGCGGTTTTGGGGAGATTGAGAACCACGGATTTTTTCATTGACATACAGCGATTGATTTATGTGATGCTGGAGGACAGTCACATGTTAAAACTACCGTTCGAATACCCCCCCCCCCCCTTTTTTTTTGTTGCCAAGATGACGGCGACTACCGCTACATAGACATTCAGTTGCCCACAAATACAGAATATGCCTTCCATTTTCTGGCGCTGGTCTGGAAGCTGCTGGCTGCCCTGGTACCTCCGACAAGTAAGTTAGCTCTTTATCTGCTTCAGGAGAGGGTTAGGAGGCAGGGGCATCGGAAGAGGGGAAGGGGAAACCGGTCGCCCCGAGCGTCACAAGTGGAAAGAAGGAGAAGGGACAAACTGTCAAAAATGTGTGTGTGTATGTGTGTGTGTGTGTGTGTGTGCGCGCGCGCGCGTATACATACATACATACATACATACAGCAGACTTCTATGGTTCAAAGGCGGCGAATGCGATTTGTAATTCTAAAGTAGACGATTTGACAACAGACCACTCTTATTAATTTCGACAATGCCAAACTATCCGGCGTGAGATTGTCTTGAAAACAGTTAGCATCAGACACACATACACAAATACTTAGCACACACACACTCGCGCGAGCACAGACACACACTCCCACAGAGTGAAACAGAAAATCTACGTGTCTCAATATCTTCAGTCGAACCAATAACTACTCGTAAACGGTGACCAGTAGAAGGGTAAAGTTTGCAGATGTCATTCTGGCTGTAGTGTCGAGTTTATTGACATTGCTATTTGCGGCAAATATTTCTAAGCAGTTCTTTTAATTAACACCACACTCACTAACATGAAATATTCCCTGAAGTTACATTCCTTGAGTATTTACAACGAGTATCTTACGTCCCTTGAAGATGTCAGCTTGACAAAACTATTTTTCGCGGCTAGGTCCCCTGAAACTTAGAATATGTCGTTTCATTTGAGCCTAAAGGTAAGAAACCAAAAATCTGCATACAAAAAAGCCAGATCTGTTAAACGGATGAGCAGCTAAAGTTGAAGTTTTGCAACAAGACCAAAGTCCAGAGCTGGATGAATAGCCGTAACGTTCAACCTATATAACAAACAGACAGTACATGCATCTGTCTGCTTCATTATTAAACACTAGTATTAATAGCCCATACTGAAATATGATCACATAGTAGGGAGCATAAGATTTTTTCCGTCCTTTTCAGGATGAAATTGTTCGTTATTTGAAGCCCTACCCTGGCTCCCGCCAATGGCCGCAATATAGCCCGGCCATAAATATGGCCTTAAGGCTGAACGCGGTTTCTGGGACCTCTCCATGGTGATTCTCACTCCCATGGTGGCATATCGTGTCATCGGGTGTTTATCGCTTGTGTGATGTCCTGGTGGGGTAGAAAGTCAGTCAGTCAGTCATGATCACTTAGAGTAGTCGTTATTACATCCGCATGATACTACTATATTCAGGACCTATACAGTTAAACATTTTTCGTCCTTTTAAGGATGCAATTTTTCGTTATTTGAAGCCCCACCCTGGCTCTTGCCAGGGTCGCAATATAGCCCGGCCATAAATATGGTCTAATGGCTAAACTCGGTTTTTGGACCTCTCCACGGGTGATCCTCATCCACATGGTGGGACTTTGTGTCATCGGGTGCTTATCGCTTGTGTGATGTCCATGTGGGGCAAAAGAAGATAGATATATAGGGTAACAGGTTGCATTTCAGTCGTCCCTATGTCGAATGCATTTTTTCTTTATTTGAAGACCCACAATGGCTTTCGCCGGGGGCCCTGAATATGGTCTAAATGGCTGAAAGGGGTTCTATGGACCTCCACGGGTGTCTCATCCGACGTGTCCACTTTGTGTCACAGGGCGTTTATCGTTGTGTGATGTTGGTGAGGTGCTTACTAGAGAGAGAGAGAGAGAGAGAGAGATGAGAGAGAGAGAGAGAGAGAGGGAGAGAGAGAGAGAGAGCGAGAGAGAGTAACATGTATCTTTACCATTACTGTCGTTCCCCTGAGGGATCCCAATTTTTCGTTATTTAAAGCTATCTGCTTTTGAGGGGCCCGAATATACCGGGGCATAACGGCTGGAAGGGGTTTCTGGACCTAGTGACGGCTGATCCTCAGCCCGCCTGGTGGCACTTTGTGTAATCAGGTGTTTCGCTTGTCGACGTTCTGTAGTGTCCCAAGAGAGGAGAGAGAGAGAGAGAGAGAGAGGGAGAGAGAGAGAAAGAGAGAGATATGTGTATAAATAGATGTGTGTGTGTGTATATAAGTGTGTGTGTATAATTATGTTATATACTTATGAAATTATATGTGTGTGTATATACATATGTGTGTGTGTTTGTGTGTGTGTGTGTGTGTCAGAACGAGAGGTGAACTAGTCACCATTCCGAAAATACACTAATATGAAAGACAATATAAACGTCTCGACTTAAAAGCCTTTATCAGTATGCTCAACAATAACAAAAAACCTAATGATATAGCTACATAATACACTACGTAAAACGACAAACATTTTTTTATGGGGTGAAGTCGCGGGCATTCGAAATATCCAGAAACATTGTTATTAAACACAAAGTGGGTTGGCACCCGCCCTGGCCGGATCACGGGTATTCATTGCGAGGAAGTGGAAAGTGTGGTATATGCTAAACAGAAAAAAAAAAAAAAAAAAGAGATGAATAAAAAGAAGATGCTTTTAATTGCAAAGTATTTGAGACATGTCTGAGACTTTTAAGTATTTCGATAACCAGTAATCGTAGAGTGAAGATGATTTAGAGAAGCCTAGAAAATATATTTATTAGAGGCAGCATTTCATTTTTCAAGAAGATGAATATTCTATCCAGTTTATCCTCATGAGCCGAAGTGATTTGGAGCGGTCTTACGAGCTTAATAATGCCAATGATAAGCCACTGCCAGTTCCTGCTGTAAGGCCGAACAGGTCTATGGAAATTCCCGTTTTGTTAGGCCGGCCCGCGGCTTGTCTGTGCTTACCATTGTTATCGAGTAAATTTATGCACAAATTGAACTACAGTTTATTCAACTTGCAACATATTTTATTGAATGAATTAACATTATAAAGATAAATAAGCGAGCCATTAGAAAATAAAATAAACATAATAATATTAAAATATAAAAGGCCTTAATGCTGCTCCCTCGTTTTTTGTTGTTGCTATGTAAAGCTATTTGAGGAAGCAGATTCTAATTAAACTGCGCTTACTATACTACTTACACATAAGCTAGATATGCAAAATGGACGTGCATACAAAACTCAAGCTCTGAAACAAACGTAACGATCAGAAATGGGCAAACAGCCAGAACTATCTGTAGAGTTTACAACCGGTGAACGCCAAGACGATGACCTCGGCCTGTAGGTCGACCAAGCCTAAAAGAAGGGGGGGGGGGGGGAGGTAGTGACCTGGAACGTAAATGGAATGTTGACCCTATCCCCCACCTAGGGTCGATCTGACTATACAAATACGAGTCTAGTTTTTTTATCCTGTGTGCCGTGGCATAAAATAGGTCCTTTCATTTCATCATCATCATCATCATTATTATCATCATCAGCATCATCATCATCATCACCATCATACTGTAACAATGCTTGTCGTTGCGTCACTAGGTGCTGTTGACCCTCTGATCAGCTCCCTCCACATTTCGCGGTCAGATGCGAGGGACTTTATGGTCCAGTCAGTCATATTCTGTATCTAGGTCTTTCTTGTTGTGCCCCCCCCCTTTTCTCCTCTACCCTGTAGTATTATTTTTGAAAGGCCGTTAGAGCTTATTTCATGTCCGAACCATTGTATTCATTTATTTGACACCTTTATATTTAATTAGCATACTGCATGGGCTGGGCTAGTTTCTTTGCATGCCTTCTGGAGCTGGGAATTCTGACAGCCATTATTGTTGACCTGGCCTCCAGTTTGGGATGCACCATTGGTGTCCAGGATTCATTTATCGGTATCTCTTTTGTGGCCATAGGAATAAGCCTTCCCGGTGAGTAGAATTTGGCAGATGAATAGTCAATTTTATAGCAGCCCAACTGCAAACTATACAGTAGAATGTGCAATTGGCATTTTTAGGGCGAACGCAAATGAGTAAAAAGAAGAAGAAGATGATGATGATGAAGAATAAGAAAAAGACGGAGGATAAGAAGAAGGATAAAGGAATAATACTAGTAATAATATTTAATTATTATTATTATAATTACTATTATTATTATAATAATAAGCAGAAAAAAAATTAGAAGCAGAAGAAGAAATAATAATAATAGTAATCATAAGAGCGGACGAAGAGAAGAAGAAAAGAAGAAACCAAAAGAAACATCGTCTAAAGCAATTTGCAGTGACGAAGGCCAAACAAGACTTGATAGAAATTGGCATTCATGACTTCTTTTTACTATTCTAGTTCTGCGTCTACTGCTGGAATTTAGTCTTGTTCAAGAACTTGGGTTTTGCATGTACATCCTTTTTACATACGGCTCCCAGGCACACGTGTGAGGGGTAGGTGTTCTACAGGGACGACATGAGTAGCCGTTCTCAACCTATGAGTCGCAACCCTTTTGGGAGTCGAACTACCCTTTCACATGGATGGACTATCGGAAAACACATATTCACTGAAGTTACGAAGAAGCAACGAAAATTTTTTTATGGTTGAGGGTTGCTACAGCATGAGTTGAGTTGAGTTGATTCAAGAACCGACATCACAGCACTCGGGGCATTCCTATAAGCGCTCCGTCCCCATCCTCAGCAGTCAGTGAAGAGTTCCGATACTAATGGTGCCAGTAGCATTCCGATTAAACGTCCTCCTTGCCTTTCCTCTGAGCCTCGAGCATCTGCCAAAACCTCTCGTCACTCCCCGCTGCATCAATCTACGAGACGTTCTGCAACAAGATGAGGAACTGTATTAGGGGTGGCGGCATTCGGAAGGTTGAGAACCACTGATCTAGGACAATGCTTCCCAGTTATGTAGACCTGCGGATCCTTCTTATCCTCAGAGGTCTGACACAGCCACATATTTTTTAATAGTCATATACAGAGTATAAAAAGTTCAAAACAATGTTTTCCCGTAATGAATTTAAATAATGGGGATACAAACAACACATTGCACAGTTTATTGCCAGGCATATTTCGCTGTATCTCATTAGGTGCGTTACTACAAAGTTACATCAATATAAAATAAAGCACAAAACTGAAAAAATTCAACTGAAATGCGAATAGATTTTCCACCGGAAGCTCACCGTAGTCACATGACTTACCAGGGCAACTTCAAATGTGCGATAAATTCCGTCTGCTTACAAAGGAGGGAATTGTTGATTTTTATTGTTAAGGCTTCAGAGATTCTCAAAAGTCTCCTGTTCGGAGTGTAGTAAACCACACGGAAAGCACTGTCTGTGTCAATTATGTGTCCGGAATTAAGTCGATGACGTTCTATGGAAGAAGCGGGTTCTTTCCTCTTGACCGGTCTCGACAGCCTATGAGGAACACAAGCTGTGAATGTAGCCAATTGGGTATGTGCTCTGCCACTCTATTTCCAAGCTCGTTCGTTCGACCGATGTAAGACAACTGGCACTTACATGTAAATTGGTAAATACAATTAGATTTGGTGTACGGAGAAACGAGCTGTTTAATAGGTGGGTTTGGGATATGAGTGGTCTTGTACCTCACTACTGGAACAGCCGCAAAGAATGTTTGGCAAACTGCTGTTTTTAGTCGGTCCTGCAGACTTTGCATGAGGGTTTGCGGGCTACTAGTTAGGAACTACAGTGCCAGGGAATGGCAATGGTCTAATTTTGATCTCAGGAAAATAAAACGGCAATGGAACGCTCAATCGTGGTAATGTCTCGATCAAGCTGAAAACAAAGTTTAAAATTTAAAATTAGGAGGATTGATTTCGTTGCATTGGGTTTTATCCCATATGGGCCTATCTCTCTCCGCAAAATGGCTGGCAACCTGGAGAGAACGAGGTCACCAAGAGCGAACTGTAAAGCTACAACGACGATCCCTGTATACATTCATAGCGCAATACAAACTGTTTAATCACTCCACCCGAAGATCCTATACGCAAACACTTACGGATAATCCATCAACAATTAGCGAAGCTAAAGTATCTCTCTATTGCGCCATTAATTGGGATTCCAACTTTATAACAAACGGGTCACCCCATTATTACCCCTGTCCCGTGCCAGTGAAAAGCACACACAGTATCCACCACTGCCCCATGTGTAAAGTCAGACAGCAGTACAAGCAAATTCAACAGCTCGCACATGCATCAAATGCATGAGTCAACCGCTAGAGGTTATAACACCTACATGAGTGTTGTTCTTAGTCATGACAAACAAGCAGGTACACACGCATTACTGCATACGACTCGTCGCCAGTTCTATAGCTAATAGTCATTCGCCTTTATTTCTGATATACATCTCCGATAAGCAAGCATTCGCAATTTACAATGTCGCAAAATGCACTCAACTCAGTAGCAGGCTGACAAAACCGTATTTCGCCTTCACCTCGTTTGTTGTCCCAATAAGTTTCCGACTGGGAGTTAAAATCACAGTCTTCCACTGGATTACTGCGGGGAACAGAAACCACTACGTGAAGGTGAGGTTATGAGTGACGTTCAATCCCACCAGGTCTGCACAACGACCACCATTCGGATGGAATCGTTCGGGTGCTGGTCCCAGAAACCCCGTTCAACCGTCAGCCCACGACTACATTGCGCATCATTTCTCCTTTAGGACCCGTATCTCTCTAATGACGTATTTATTCTTCTTTTATTGTCTAGAAACCTTCAGCAGTAAAATGGCGGTTTTCAACGAAGCCAATGCCGACGCTGCAATAGGAAACGTACCCGCCTGCAGCGCTGCCAACATCTTCGTGGGTCTGGGCATTGCCTGGATAATGGCAGCCACCCAGCAGGGTATTCAGGGGACAGAACTCTTTGTTCTGAGTGATCATCTCGCTTCGTTTGCTATCCTGTTCAGCATTTTGTCTTTTTTGGCCATATCTGTACTCTTTGCCCGTCGTCGACAGCCCATTGGAGGTGAACTTGGAGGACCCATTGTTCAAAGGATTCTGACAAGCTTGATCTTAATTACCCTTTGGGTTGTATATTTGATCCTTTCATTGCTTATAGTATTCTGTGTCATAGTGATATTTTAAATGTTGAAAAAAAAAAATAAAAAACACACACACACACACACACACACACACACACACACACACACGAGGAGTCCCTTCGAACGTCATTGCCGTATAACACATGTGCTTTCACGCTTTGACGCACAGGGTATAGGCGGCTAGACTTATATGTTTATGGACCTCGATAGGTGATGTGGTCAGCATCGCGCTGGCAGCTTTTACTTCCCAGGACTTTATCTGGTGCCTTTTTAAGGCTGGGTCAACCTAGAGCCAAGGTCCCAGTATATATATATATATATAAAATATGGCTTTATGCGGGTTTGAACCAACAACCTCGAGATCCGCAAGCGAGCGTCTAGCCCCTACAACACAGCTGTTACATGATGCTAGAACCATATATTATGACAAGTCGGCACGTGATTGGTTAGGCGGCCAGCATCTCATTATGATCCTTGAATGTTTTCTTTAACCGTAATGTTGCTACATGGGAAATACAATCGTTGATGGTTAGGAACATTTTTTTTTTCTGTGTTCTAATTATTTTACTAGCATGTAAATGTTGAACCGAGAATAGCCATCACAGCACTCGGAGCATTTTTGTAAGCACCCCGTCCTCATCTTCAGCAGCTAGCGCACAATTCCAGTTCCGATGATTACAGAAACAATTTGATTGTATATCCGTCTCACCCTTCCTTTGAGTGTTCAGTGTCGGCGGCTGGCACGTTGTAAGGTGGTCAACGGATAGGCTGCGTATCTGCTCTTTTCGGTCCATCAAATTCAATTTCATCAAAACCAAAAGTGGCCCTTTTACGACAAGCTTGTTAGGGTCCCACCGCCCCCGCCCCACCCCAAAGCATAGGGCCCAAGAAGGCCTTACAGGAAATTCATCAATGAAAATGAAAGGAATCAGTCTTATTGGTACAATATCCGTCTCGACAAATAAGTTCTACACAAATCACAATCATCTTTTTCTTCTTCTTCATAGCGTCCACCGGCTGCAGACTCTTGGGAAAGCTGTGGTTGTTCGTCCACTTCTGGACTTTGGTCTTGTTCCAAAACTATAGTTTTTGCCTATACATCCATTTTATTTGTATGCATACTGTTCCTGGCCTCTCAGGCAGATAGATTCCGACTTTAAGGGAAATTAACCTAGTTAGTCATCTTTTAGGACATGCTTGTCATGCAGCAGTGGCTCAACAACCCCCCCCCCCTTGACCACCCGCCAACCCCTGTTCCAAAACGGGGTCCTGAACTTACACGTAGAGCAATCTTAGTCATCCCAATGTTACTAGTTACTTTGAAGCCTTACCCTGGCTCTTGCCGGAGCCGCAATATAGCCCGGCCATAAATATGGCCTAATGGCTGAGCGCGGTTTCTGGGTGATCCTCATCCACATGGTGGCACTTTGTGTCATCAGGTGTTTATCGCTTGTGTGATGTCCTGGTGGGGTAAAATGTACTACTACTACTACACGTGTCGGCTTTGTGGCTAAGTCGATGCGAACGCTTCGTAATGCCGGGGTGCCGAGTTCGATACCAGATGCGGGCCATGCGCCTTGCGTTGGTTTCGAACTTGTGGTATAAAGAAGCCGACCGTCCAGGTGCAATGGCAAACTACTGAATGTGAATTTGCCTAGAGAAACTACACAACAGCCAGGGGCTGCTGAGGTTGGCTCTGCAACGTCCTATAAAGGATACACAACTAACAAACTACTGCAGGTAGAGTTAAAGCAGCGGTTCTCAACCTGTGGGTTGCGACCCATTTTTAGGTCCAACGACCCTTTCACAGGGGTAGCCTAGGACCATCGGAAAACATATTCATTAACCTTATGAAGTACAACGAAAATAATTGTTTGTATGGGGGTCGCCACAACATGAAGAACTGTTTTAAAGTGTCGCCGAATTAGGAAGGTTGAGAACCACTGAGTTGAAGTATTCAACGTTTGTAACACTTACAATTTTTAGCGTAGTTAATTGTGATTGTTGGCATTGTATACAACAAAATGAACGGCAGGAGGAGTGGTCACAAGTAATGCTCTGATGCGAGAGACCCGGGTTCGACCCCAGGTACGGTGACGGAGTTTTTCTGCCGGGGGCAAAATTACACATCCTTACTTGCGCCGTCCATGGCGACAGCACTAGTAGAGTGGCCCTTAATCCCTAGACTCCAACCGCCCCCTCCCTCTCCCGTCTACGTCGGCCGAAAAAAGTAGTAGATCAGACAGTAGTGACAGTTTTTTCTTTGACAGTGACAGTCTACAACATATTATAATAAACAAGCCAAAGAACTTCTTGAGGTGATACGCTTTTACAAAAACAAAAAACAAAATCCTTAGAATTCTTTGAATGCAACCCAGACGTTTTGAAAGAAGCGAGAGCTCGAAGATAACTAATCACATATATCAGTAAAAGACAGTCATCGTTTTTTTTGTGTGGGGGGTGGGGGGGGGGGATATGTTATGAGAGTGAGCAAACTGGAACATGCTGTGACCTTTTTAAACATATGTGGAGAGAGAGAGATAGATGACGGTAACACGAGAAAAAAATGGGTCAACACACGAACTGATGCACACTGCTGTAGACCGCAGACTGCGGAGAGGCATGATCACACGCACCAGTCGGCAAGGCACTTGATGATTATAATGCAACATCACATTGAATGAATGAATCAATCAATCAAGAATTTTCATTCCTGCACCCGGGACATTCCCACACGTAACCAGTGAGATTTGACATGCTAAAAGTATCGCCTGCAACCTGATTAAAAAGTCCGCCTCTGTTTCCCCTTTAATGTTGAATAACTTCCAGAACCCCTGCTCAGTCCTTGTTGAATAAGTCTTTCACTGTATGGATTTCCTATCTGTTCTTTTGCACTGTCCATATAATCCCATAGATCCTTCACCACATCCGCTTTATCATTTAGTAAGTAGCTCACCGCCCAGACTAGCGACAGCAGCCAATATTTCAGCCTGCTTATTACAACAGAACATGATATACTTTTAATTGTAACACACCAGCCTGAGAGATCTAAGGTCAGACAGCATCACATTACCAGACACCTTCAACAACTACTCACCCCTAACAGTACACTCACACACGTGCACGCACGCACGTACATATAAACCTTTGTCTAAACTCGCCTGAGACCTTTCCCGTCGGACCGGCTGTTTTTCGTTCCGTTTTCTAAATGTGTGTATTTTCCTCACCCGAAAACATCTAAGAAACAGGAGAGAACAAACAGTTCTTGCCTCGAAGCAGTCGACTGACATTTAAACGTGTTTGTCCAACCTTTGGACAGTTGTGGTCTGAACATACAGAGGATTTTATGTGGCGGTGCATGTCATTCTTGCAGGCGTTTCCAGCCATTGGCGTTCGCGCCGAATCGAGCTAACGAATGCCTCGAACATGTTTGTTACTGCAGACCTGGGAAAAATAGAAGTGAATAGAGAAACGCTAAATGAGATCTTCTTACTTAGCTTGTTCATGTTCAGCTTATTCATTTTCTTCTTGTTCCGCTTGCTTTTGCTCTTTATATTATTGTTGGTATTGTTCTTGTTGTTCTTCTTCTTGCTGTTTTTCGTGTTCTTGTTCTTGCTCTTGTTGTTGTTGTTGTTGTTGTTGTTGTTCTTCTTCTTCTTCTTCTTCTTCTTCTTCTTCTTCTTCTTCTTCTTCTTCTTCTTCTTCTTCTTCTTCTTCTTCTTCTTCTTCTTCTTCTTCTTCTTCTTCTTCTTCTTCTTCTTCTTCTTCTTCTTCTTCTTCTTCTTCTTCTTCTTCTTCTTTCTTCTTCTTCTTCTTCTTCTTCTTCTTCTTCTTCTTCTTCTTCTTCTTCTTCTTCTTCTTCTTCTTCTTCTTCTTCTTCTTCTTTTTCTATCCTGCAATGGAGCATAGACCCTAAACAAACTCACACCAGGGTCGTCCCATCGTTCCCTATTATTTTTTGCAGCTCTCCCCATGTCCTCCCCATCTTTTTAACTTCACTCTCTAGCTCCAGTGCAAAGACATTCTAGTTATATTGTTCTCGGGTTTTCTCAGCCTGTGTCCCATCCAATGCCAGCGTCTTCATCAAATATATTTAGTTTATGTTAAGATTCCGGAATAGAAGAGAAATATCAGCCATCAAATACTAATTAGTCTATACAAAAATGCGTCAAATACTGTATGCCCGGTTCGCAAATCACTGACATGCTTGCTTACTGTAACTTCATAATTACAGTAGCAGTAGCAGCAGGTAGGCAGGTAGATACTTGTATTCTCCCAGGATATCGCACAATCGTTATGCACCCTGTGACACAAAGTGCCACAATTCAGATGAGAATCACCCGTGGAGAGGTACCGGAAACCTTGTTCAGGCGTTAGGCCATATTTCAGACCCGGCTATATTTAGGGCCCCCAGCAAAAGTTAGGGTGGGGCAGCAGCAGTAGTAGTAATTAAACAATATCCTCTCTAACCAATCCGGGTTATAATTGGGATATCCAGAGTATTTTGCCCCTATTTCAATAACGGATGTTGATATCTATCAATTATGTTTGGTTATGCAATGTCGCATAACTGTATAAGATTGTAAGAGTATAGATAGTCAAATTCAATATATTTTAAATGTACTTTCAAACAATTATAGTAATTACATTGGGTAGTCAATCTTTGCAGATATTCAAAGTGATAAGGTATTCGACTATTTTGTTTTAAGATATATTAACATCTAATATAGCATGTAGTCACATATACAGGGCTGAGATATAAGCTACTATCTGCAGAAGAACAAACGAACGAACAAACTCCATTTTCAAAGGGTCACAAACTGGGCACTCATGCCCAGTTATATACGACCATTTCAAACGGTTATTTTCACCCGGCTAATTTATTGCATGTATATCACGCACATTATGTTTATGTATCAACATAGCATAATTGTGCTAGCGGGAAGAAAGAAAAGGAAAACTTACGGAAAGTAGGAAGCTAAGGAAAATTGTGATCAGGATAAAAAGTAATAGTTCCCCGCTGAACAGCAAAAACAGGAAAGT